CATGACCCAAATAATAATCCAACTTTAGGAGAAAGCATCCATAATCTTGTCGGTTCCAACCTCTAAAAAAAACTGGCTAATTATTCCCCAAGAATGCGAGATGGTTAAACAAAGCATGAACTTTGATAATGTTGCCTCCTGTCACCGCTGGATCTGGATGCCAAAAAGAATTTGAGTAAATTAGTTAAGTCCCTAGAGAAGATAATGCTTCTTGATCGAATGGGGTTATCTGTTGGGATTGTCTTTGATTCTTTGTGTAACTTCATGAGAATTAGATAGGGTTAGAGTTCTATCATGATTAGGAGTTTGGGTTCTATCATGATTAGGAGTTTGAGTTCTATCATGATTAGGAGTTTGAATCCTATTCTAATTAGGAAGTTAGGCTAGAGATAGGGTTTTGGTTTCCATATATATATTCTTCTATTGGTGGAGGAAAAACCATGAAGAAAAAGTAGATATGTAGTAGATGAGAAAGAGAGAGAGTTTTGTAGTCTTTATCCGTGCAAAAGATTACAATGAGTGGGCTTTGGAGAGAATATGAGAGTTGATTATGTATGTGAGGTTGAGAGATTGAGAGACGAGAGTTGAGTGGTTCCTCTTGTAGTTCTCCATGATACATAGTGAATTTCTCGAGTTGAGTGGTTCCTCTTGTAGTTCTCCATGATATATAGTGAATTTCTCGTATTGTTGCCCCGTGGACGTAGGTCGAAGTTGGTCGACCAAACCACGTAAATCTCGGTGTTCTTTTTTCTTGATTGTGGTTGTTCTATCTTATTGATTGGGGTTGGCTTCCTAGTTGCGCAAATCGTGGTAGGCGGGGAGACTGAAATTCCCCAACAAGTGGTATCAGAGCGATGATGATGGATCCGGGAGCGAGTTTGCAAGATAGAAGACGACGTCGTGCAAGATTAAAAATCGGCGTTACAAGAATCAAGATGAAAAGGAAAAGGGGGGGAAAAATACTGTAGCAGCAGGACTGTAGCAGAACACTGTAGCGCGGCGGGTAGTGCTCACGTGAGGATCCGACGATCCAGATTGATTTGTTAACCGATTAAGGATTTGGAGGCGAATTTTGGTGATCCAAGAGTTGTTCATAGGGTTTTTCGACGTACTGAATTCGTTTTTGGCATCGGTTTTATCAAATTCAATCACTACAGGGACTGATTTTTATTTTGATCGTGGTTAGAGGATGATGACTTCTTCGGGTCCGAAGTTTGATATTCCGCTATTTAACGGCAAGACAAATCTGATGGTAGATAAGGAGCAGGAGTTGGTTGGTATGTATACTTGAGGAGGACAGTGCCAGATTAGGTGGAGCTTGCAAGCGGGCACGACCGAGTGACACACATGGAGATGAAGATGGTGGCGTTGAACTTGAAGATGGTGAGCGCTCATATTCAGTCCAAACCAAGTGATGGAGGAGATAAAGGCATCTAGCTCGTAGTGTAGAGTAGGAGAGGTGCACCGATATGATTCGAGACGAGCGATGCAGGTGGAGCATAAGGACAACAAGAGAGGTGAAGGCGTCACGGCGAAGCAGAAGATAGTGAGGATCATGAAGGCATCCAATTGGGAGTGCATGTGTTCTGATTTGAAGTACGAAAGAAATAGAAGACTCTAACGAGAGAGACAAAGTTTCAAGACGACGATGATATATATCTTCAAGGGAGTTTGCGAATCAAATCCAAGATCGAGATTGTTGGGATTTTGTCTTTGATTCTTTGTGTAACTTCATGAGAATTAGATAGGGTTAGAGTTCTATCATGATTAGGAGTTTGGGTTCTATCATGATTAGGAGTTTGAGTTCTATCATGATTAGGAGTTTGGGTTTTATCATGATTAGGAGTTTGAATCCTATTCTAATTAGAAAGTTAGGTTAAAGATAGGGTTTTGGTTTCCCTATATATATTCTTCTATTGGTGGAGGAAAAACCATGAAGAAAAAATAGAGATGTAGTAGATGAGAGAGAGGGTTTCGTAGTCTTTATCCGTGCAAAAGATTACAAGGAGTGGGCTTTGGAGAGAATATGAGAGTTGATTATGTATGTGAGGTTGAGAGATTGAGAGACGAGAGTTGAGTAGTTTCTCTTGTAGTTCTCCCTGATACATAGTGAATTTCTCGTATTGTTGCCCCGTGGACGTAGGTCGAAGTTGGTCGACCAAACCACGTAAATTTCGGTGTTCTTTTTTCTTAATTGTGGTTGTTCTATCTTATTGATTGGAGTTGGCTTCCGAGTTGCGCAAATCGTGGTAGGCGGGGAGACTGAAATTCCCCAACATTATCCTATGACTAATAGAAAAATTAAGGGTTTGTTTTGGTAAATTAACAATACCCCTCAAGCAGCTATGAACATTTTTGCGACAACCCCCAAAAGTTTAAAATGTCAGTTATCCACCTTCCATAAACAAGGGGGTTATTCAGCAACCATAGGAAAAACTTTTGCATTTGACCTCCTTTCATAGACAACATGTCGGGTTATTTAGTAGCTACGGTTAAAACTTTCTAGTATAAGTTACCTCAAATACTCAAATCTATATTGCTTTGGGAATTCCTTTTTTAGCTTGGTTTGCTTTGATCAAGAGTTCGATTTACATTAGACTTTGCAAAACCAATCATATTAGAGGTTTATTCCTACTTGGACTCTTGTTGGGTTTTAGGACACGTGGACTTCTATTCCTACTAGAACTCTTATTCCTTAGGTAGCAAAGAGCTGAGATCTTCAAGGCTATATAAGAACAGTCTTTCAAGCTAATTAGATTTATCAATCTTCAGAGCACCAATTAAGAAGTTCTTTTGTAAAGCCTATTTGATATTCTTCTCTTTTGTTCCTTTTATTTAGAGAGATTGTACGAGAATTTTGGGGTGTTGTTTGGGATTGAGAGATTCCACTTCGTATTCCTCACAATTAATAAAGATTTTCTCCTCCTTCACTCGTAGACGTAGGCTACAAGCTGAACCACGTATATCTATGTGTTTGTATGTTCAGGATATTTTTCGTGCTATCGTGTGATTGATATTAGCTTATCCTAGAGAATTTGTCATAACACTTTCCAATAGACCCGGGCCACTGCTGACCGACTGAGTCCATTTACTAACATGGTCGTCCAAAAATCGAATAAGAAAACTCCCTATAAATCTATCCGTTTTTACTGATCCAAGGATTTGTGGAACTGGGTCCGTTGGACACTCTCCTATGAGTTCCTTTGGGGTTTTCAAACATTCACCTTATTTAAATCTTGGCACTTCTTGCTTGGTTCATCCAAATCGAACACAACAAAACAATATTCTTCCAAAATCAGGCAAATCAAACTTTGGACGTAAGCATAGTTGCATTTATGACAACTAGCACCATCACCGGCCGGCAGTGGTCCTCAAGGTAAACCCTCAATCTATACAAAACCAAAAATAAGGCCATGAGAGAGCAGACACATGGTCAGGTTGTGGACACAATTGCTCTACCCATTTTGTATCTCTGAGATCAACATCGACGATCAAATCACCGTTGGATCGATCACGGTCACCAGGCCCCGCACCCTCGTCTAAGTCTCACGCATCTCCCTCAATCTCTGATATCACACAGTTGGCTATGCATTTCAGAGAAGCCAACTTGTCTGACACCAAAAAAGATCAGTGATTGAAACTATACCTCAAATCCTTAGATCCTAGCTAATCCTAAGAAACTTGCATATAATAAATTAACACTCCGATTGCTGCTGTCTTCAAGTAAAGAAACCCGTAAAGCAAACAAAGTTCTGATCAAGTTGAGAAAAAGAGATGTAAACTAATCAATCGGATTTGGGGACAATCAGGGTGCAGAATATGATGAGATGAGGAATGAAATATTAAGCCTAGCTAACATGTGAAGGAAAGGCACACGCCATGTGATTTCAGTTCTAATTAAGCTGATGAAGGTTTTAATTAATAGAGGCTTGTCTGGTATAAATCTTGCAGCACACCGCATCACAGCCATCCATCTCGTTTCCCATGTGGACTTGGGGCCCCACATCGGTAGGTGGTGCATCGCTGAGCTTTCAACCATTGGATCAACTTCAAATGTACATTTGCAATTAACAAGGCCATAAACAAACATCGACTGTGTAGAGGGCGTGATTGATGATGACATTTTAAATGTGAGAGCGATGGCCAAAAAAACATAAGAAGATTTGGTGCCTGAATCATTGAAAGGAGACATAAAGATACTAATCTCCTAGGTTATTTGGATTAAGGAAAAGCAAAGGTCAGCCATTGTCTACATAATTTAACGCTCGAGTTCAACTAACCCCCAGAGTCCAACCAACACGAGACTAACGAAATTGTCACTGTCTTTCAATAATTGCAACATAACAAGCCTTAAAAATGCGAAGAAAATGATACGCAATAACAAGTGTAAGATGAAGCAAGCATTAACACGACGTGAATAATTCACTAATAACTAGGAGAGAGCAATAACTAAATGATCGAGTAACAATATGGTGGAATAATTATAAAAAAGTATCCATGTATTGCCGAGGTGATCGAGGTGGAGAAAACGAGACCATATGAATAACTGTTGCTAGTAACTAATGTTTGACCCGGTGCAAGTACTGAGGACTGGAATATTGACAGCCTTGACCACAAGTTCATGTGGATAACTGTAGCTTATACGCCAAGGCCGAGCACCGTACAGAGATGAAACGTTCCCGGCCTCACTAATACCCATCAAAATCCCGAATCTTCATTTTGTCTGAACCGAACCACATTTTGTATACGAACCCTAATTCTCTGCAACTATTATTATATGGTATAATCCCCACTATAGTTAGCTGACCTATGTAAATTTCCGGTGCAAAAACCTCTGCTTTCGTTTGTGTTATCTAATTCCACCAGCATTGCAAGATATTAACACGTTGTACGCTTCAAGAGACGTATTATGAAGTACTACGTACATAATCGACACATGGAACAAGTTACTAGTCGGTCTGCTCAAATTCTACACGGGACTAAAATCGACAAAAAATAAATGCACAAACCTTTTCAAATGCCATAATCAGAGGTAAATTGGAAGTCATGGGCTGCTAAAATTCATCGGCATCTGTTCAAGTTGTACAATCACCCTAACCCACAAGACATAAACATGAAAAACATCACAGACGATTAAACGCCACCGCTACTAGCTAGTCTTCTGCCAACAGTTTAATTCCAAGAAGAAGAAGGGAAACACCAAAAAAAAAAAAGCAGAGGAACAATTAGAGCACCGAGACAAAGCGCTGTGATGTAATACAGCACAGCACAATTAATCCTACTACTTAAGAGGTAACAAGATAGCGTGCCTGAAATCGCTCCGCGTTCTCCCAGCAATCATCAGCATTTCCAGGATGAGACCGAGCCCAGCTCCCCTCGCTGCCAGTAGAGGAACAGCGACCCCTCAATCATCAGCATTTCCAGGATGAGACCGAGCCCAGCTCCCCTCGCTGCCAGTAGAGGAACAGCGACCCCTGCCTCTTCTCGACGTGAAAACCCCTCACCTGAACCCTCTTCAACAAACAATCGGCCTGCGTCTCTGTAAAATTACTAAACTGCCACGGCACGAATCCAGCCGACCCGAACATCGCACGCCATGGACCCGTCACGCCAGCAGCGCGGTGGCGGCCCAGAGCAGCCCATTCAGCCCTCGGCTGCACTATGAACCTCTCGATCTTGTTCGCCACATCAGCATTGGTGCCCGCTGCGTCGATGGAATCGAGCAGGACCGTGCAGGCTTGGAACGCATGGAGGAGGTGGTGGGCGAAGGGGAGGTCGTCACCGCGATCGCAGCCTTGATCCACCGAGACCACAACCTTCGGGTTCAGCTGCTTCACCAGTTTGATGAGGGCCGGAAATGGCTGAGGGTAATGGGATCCGAAGGGGAGGTTGACGGCGATGGCCTCGTTGGGGGTTGAAACTGCAAGGAGCTCATTCGGGTTGAAGGACTCAACGGCAATTAGCGAGAACTCGAAGGGCACGTTGAGCTCTGCAGCAAAATGGGACAGGTTTTCGCGGGTGAGATGGAGCTCGAGGGGATGAAACGCCGCAACGGAGACGAAAGCTGTAATCTTGAGGAAGGGCACGGCATTGGGACGACGGTGGGCGAGTTCTTGAATGAACGAGGACCAATGGCCGCCGACGCCGATATCGAAGTCGACAATGTGGATTCTATCGAAGGCGCCGACCTCCTCCAACAGGGTCTGCGTGCAGGTGAAGTTTGCAAAGTGGATCAACGGAGACACTTCAGAGAAAGCCTTGTAGGAGCCGAGCTTGAGCACGACATCGGCCGGAGTCGCAGGGACCGAGGGCTGATTGCTCGTGAGGAGAACGTTGAGAACATCTTTAAAGATGAATGCCGATCGAAGCAAAGGTTTGAGGCCGAGAGGGGAAAGGGGTAACAATTGATTGAGCCGCGCCAATATCTCACGCGCGCTGAAGGGGTCGCCGGCGTCGATGAACTCCGACGCTTTGAGGAGATGATCGACGATGGTCTGATGATGGTGGTGCTGGTGGGTGATGGGGGATATCGAGTGGTGGCGCTTTGGATTCGGATGGAAACTTAGCGAGGTGACCGGAACGTCGGAGGTCGCGCCGCAGTGGTAGGCGAAAATCAGGGTTTATTGCGGCGGCGCCGGCGGGGGAGCGGTGAAGAGCGTAGGTGGTCAGCGAGGGTTAAAGATGAGGGTTTTATGATCGATGGGCGCTCTTCTTGTAAAAGATTGGCGTTAGGCCTGTTGGTGAGCTGATGTGAAGAGGAGGAAGAAGCGACACGAGCTCGTCGATCGAGTGTGAAATCCTGAATCGACAGCCCATGAGGAGCTCAGTCGAATGTTTTGCGGGTTGCTTCAATTCTTCGTCGCTCGTCGATGTCGCCATTATTCCACCGCGAGGCAAGGTCTTGGCCCTCATGGAGTCGGCGACGCAGGAGACCGGCGGTGGCGGAGGGGCGGTGCGTCGGAGGAGGACGGCGCCTCCCATTCGTTCGCACGGCCGGCCGGCGCGCGCGATGAGACCGGATGTGATTGAGGATCGCGGCTGCGAGCTCGGAGGCCCACTCCTCTTTCTTCTCTTCCCTTCCGTCGTCCATCTTTGTTGTTTGGTGGTGTGGTGGTGCTCTCGGGGAGAGCGCCGCCACGCCGGCGGATTCGGAAGAGAAGCTTCCGGTGCACGGCGAGAAGAGGAGCGTTTGGTGTGGCTTGGGCTTGGGCTTTGTCTATGATCCAGTACAGAACAAGGCTCTACTACTATCCCCACCTCTGATCTCTTCCTCTTGTTGTTGTTGTTGTTGCTGTTTGCAGTCCAATAGCTTATTTGTCCTCCAAAGACTCCTCCTCCTCCTCCTCCTCGAAAATTGAAGGGCATCCACTTCATCTAAAATCCTAAAACCGCAGATTTTTTTTCCTTTTTTTTATTTCAAATTATGGAGATGTGGGTTTTTGTTGGCTTCTCTTCTTCTCCAATCGCCTCCTCCTCTCCTCTCTCCCATTTATTATTTACTACCCCTCTACTCTAACTCATCTCCATCTTCTTCTTTCTTTCTTTCTTCAGCTATTGCCTCTCTCTCTCTCTCTCTCTCTCAAATATTTTCTATCAATACCCAGAAGTAGCGAAGAGCCCTTCCAATATATTTTCCTCTCCGCAGAATTTCTCTCTGCTACAAGCCTACAAGTAACTTCTGCCCCTCTCTAGTTAAAATTTTCAATTGCTCATTTATATTATTAAAAAACTAAAGTTAACAATATCAATTAATGTTATTTTTTTATTACTAATTGATTTTTCAGACAGCAAAGCAACAGTCCCCACACAGTCTCCTCCGGCTCGGGACTCGGGCGATTGTCAAAAGCAACAACTTCGTAAAAGAGAAAAAGCTGGTTACCTCAAAAAATCGCCATCATGATGGATTCCTTTTTACCAAAGTGCCCCTACGTTTTCTCCTCTCGTGCCGTGACCATGGGCGCTATTGCGTCGTTTGGGCCGTCGCCCAACTTTTGGAATTAATTACATGTTTCGTCAGATTATGGCTGGGGGTTAATTTCGTCATTTGGTACCGTCCGAGGATATGACGGTCATTTTTTTGTTTCCCCGGGGCATCTAGCGGCAGCGCTCTGTACTTTTGGAACAGTTGATTGACGGGACGGTGACCCTGTTGGAACTGTGGAGCGGCTCAGCTGTCTCTTCTGATTTGAATGGAGAGCGGGTCCTGCGTTACGCGTGGCGATGGATGCTCGGATCACTTGGGTGTTTGCTGTCCAAGAGTAAACAGCCTATCCTTTCATTGGCCACGCTCCGTTCACATCGCACCCCTGC